GCCCCATACAGGAGAAACAAAACTGTTGAAACACTTTAGGGGAGAAAACATACACACACACACACACACACACACACACACACACAAAAGCATAGGCAGCACTTTAAGAATCTCCTGCTGAGAAAAATATTTTTTACAGGCAAAAGAAACAGACCTAGCAATATTTGTGCCACAATAAAAAAATACTTATCCAATATAGGATGCCTGTGAAGGAAGTGCTGACTACACTATACCTTAAAAAAGGCTTTGATTTGTATATTTATAGTATATTTAAAAATAAATTTTCCTCATGAATACATTGTCTTCAATAAAGTGCCCATTTCCATGCAGCTGATGGTGTCATCCTTACAAAATTTCAGATAAAATATGGACGTCACACTTATGCACACACTTGTAACTGACTAGCATACAAAAACACCCAGTGAAACATAATCCTCTGTATCAATTACAACAAACAAATGACCAACAAGCTTCCGTTTCCTGCTAATCTACAGGAACAAGCACTTCAGAAAAAAATTACTAATAAGCATTTCTTCCCAGCATATGCTATCTTTAAAAGCAAAAAAAATAAATAATAGAATAAAATAAAATAAAAAAATTGCCTGAAATGCATGTTAACACATACACAGAGAGAGATAATACTCTGCTCACAAACCCAGAGCTTACTTGAAGGTAAACTCCTGCTGGGTTCTCTGAAGGACAGTCCTCTTTACATCAAACTCTCAAACAACCAATACAAACTRCTCTTTGTCACTTTTGCAAAGAAAGAGAGTCAAGAATAAAAAAGCACTTACAGAAGTATCATTATAGAAGTGAAACATCCTGAAGGTCTTATCTGTATTGTTTTTTTTTTCTTTGTGTGGATATATAAAATGTTTCAGACCTTTTAAGATGACCTCCAGTTCATCTCGTAAGATGTCAAATGTGCTGTATCTCGAGCTGGTCTCTGGGATGATGTTCTTTTTGAGCCATCCTCCACAGGCGTACTGGTAGAAGTTTTCACAAGGATCCACTGATAAATCCATGTTCTCGATGAGACGAGACGCTGCACAGGGAGGAAAGAAAGAAGCTCTTAGAACCAGGAAAAATACCAATCTGAAGAAGGTATACAAGCATAATCACGTGGAATCTACCAATGCAAATTACAGGATATTAACAATATATAATAATTTTCGATTAAACTTACAAACTGATGGCACTGGGTGACAGGAAACCCAGCAAACAAAACTAGAGAGCATTAACAGAACGAGATGGAGGGACATGACAAAAGAGAGCCGAGGAAAAGGTGCAAAGGAAGGCTGTATAATGAACTAATCAGCAGATCAAACACAGGTGTGGGACCTCCAGGCTGCTCAACAGGTTTAAACCACGGGTGTAAAGCTCCTAAAGGTGCAATAGCAAAACCATTTTCAAAATAAAACAGGAAGTGATTCACCAAGTGGATGTGGACCATCAAAAAAATAAAACTGACCCAAAAATGAAAGTCTGGCAGAAGAAATGAGCCAAACATTACAGGCCATGACAAGCTTAACTTTTAATCAGGTCTTTCAGGAAATACAAAGCCCGGAGATTACAAATTCCTACCATGTGACCAATTACTAATATGACATTTGGGGAAATTGACTTAATCACCTCACCCAAAAATAAGCGTTAGAGAGAGGATGGGGTTTGAACGGTTGAAGGCTGATAGCAGCAGCTGATTAGCAGAACAGTGGAGACAGAAAAGCAGCGGACAAGCTCTTTATAATGGTAATTAATCCTCCTACACATCTGTGGCGCCTCAAAGCTCATTTTATATGTCACTAGCATTAGATCTAATGTATTAAATCTTTTTTTTGTTTTAATGACATGGACTTTGATGCATTAAATTTGAATAGAAATATTAATTCCTTTTAGATAAAAATGGACTTTTTGATTATTAGAGGTGCTCATATTTGCTCAGATTGAAGCTACCTGTTTTATTTGTTTCTTGTCTTTCTTCAGAGACTTGTTCTTTGTGATTTATATATTCATTATTATTATTATTATTATTATTATTATTATTATTATTATTATTATTATTATTATTATTATTAGGGCATCACTTAGTCCAAATCAAATTTCTCCATGGAGTATTTATGTATATCGGGGTGGGGAATGGTTTTTGAGGGCTGTTATTCGGCATGTTTTCCTTGTTTTTCTGCTCCAACACACCTGATTTGAATGAATGGGTAATTAACAGGCTTTTGCAGAACTTGACGAGGTAATTTAATCACTGAATCTGTCCTTGAGGACAAGGATTGCCCTCCCCTGATATATCATATTATGCTGTACTGAGCTGTAATGTATTGTATTGTGACATACTATATCATATTGTAATATATAAAAATACAGCCTATTTTTATTTTTCATATCCTATCATATTGTGTTGTCTCTGTCTGTGGTCTTGAAATAAAAACACAGACGTGACCACTGATCTTTCTCTGTAAGACAAACTAAATATTTTAAAATGTTAACATTTTCAGAATATTTGAAAACAAAGTAATTGGAGGAGACACATAAAAAGACCTTCTGCAAAAAAAATAAAAAAATAAAAAAATAAAAAGTGCATTTGAGATCATGTACCACTTGTGGGAAAGCTTTGAAAACATTTCAAATTATGTCACGATGCTAGTAGCACAGAATGACACTGCTCAACAGGAGAAAAAAGATCAAATTTGTTGTTTTCAAAAAAGCTTTTTACAGTTATTAAGACACCTTTCGGAGAAAAAATGAAACACCACATTTGAAACAATATGCGAGGATCAAACAACGTAACATCTGTAATGGGCTCAGCATCAGCAGTGGWAATATGTTAACTTTTTTGAGCAGCAATTAAATCACAGGCAGCTTCKCAGAGATCCCTTGTGACGAGGCTGTCTGTCAGGTTTGACTGAATTGGGACACCGGCACTGGAAAAATGTATCAGAAATAAATTGTCATCTGTTGCTATAAACCAGTATTAGGGTTATTCATCTTCTGCATACATTTACAGTATTTTTATCATTATTATTATTATTTTGTCTGTTTGTTCTACTACAAATAAATCATACTTCTGTTAATCTTTGTGTCAGATGGAAGAAAATTAAATCATGATGTTAATATTAAAGGAGGTGGTAGGATATTTTTTAATGCAAGATTATAAAAAACATACTGATACTGATCTAAATCAGTTTTATGTCCACTAGGATTAGAGATAAAAAAGTACTTATCTAAAAATGTGTTTTGTTCTGTACCAAAATATCTGTGCTCATTAGTGCAGTTATGTAATCAGCTTTAAGCAACAAAATGTTTTGTTAAAATAACTCTGCTTTGGACACACTAAACCTACACATGTGTACAGTATAATTCTCCAKAAGTGATCTGAGTGCAACAACCTTTCAGGTGCCGATCAGAACAGTTTAAATGAGAGGAAACATGTCTGAAGTGGTCGTATTCACCAAACATGACAAAATTTCTGCTGCAGCAGCYTCAATCCTCCCATACTGAGAAAAAAATCAAAGCCTTCAAAATGACACAATAAAGAAAAGGCACAAACACACACACCAACACACTCCTTACCTGACTGCGTGCAGTCAGCTGTGGTGCAGATTTCATCTGCAGGAAAACATAAAACAAATCATCACTCAGTGGGTTTTTGGCATTCATCAATCATTGCGTTAAACTCATTCCCTCCCTTTCGTTCCAATTTACCTTTTTTGCTTCTTGTCAACACTTTGCCACTGTTTTTGCACAGATATAACCTGGAACCACTAAGATTTGTTGCTTTGTGAACCCTGCCAGTCAGGTGCTAATCAAAGTGAATCCGGGAAGCACTGACACATCCGCAAACTGCTGTTTGACCTTTAAGACAAGGTTTCATGGGTTTTGTGTGAATGCGCAGAATGTGAACATGGTCTGGTGCACACATCCTTACAGACATGGACAAGTCATTGAGGTTTTGATTTTCCTGACGAAGCAGCTTAAACATTCATAAAAACACAAGACTCCAAGCAAATATTAACACCCCAAAAGACACGTGCACAAAAGCCAGACCAGATTCATCAAACTTAATTAGATGACCTTTTCTGTCAGGATTCTGYAATCATGACTGGCTGAACTTTGTCAATAATTAATCTATGGATCTGCTGGTTCTAGTTATTGGTCCTCAAACACTACTTGACTGCTTGCTTTATGTCTCACACCATAGTCTAGTAATTAGTGAACCCTCAAAGCCATGGGGTCCRAGCAAAGGTTATGAACAATTATTACACTACTTGTTGTAAATAGCTCTTTGAACAAACACATTTAGGAGAAATGGAGATTAATTCTGACTGGATTAAAGAGGTGGTGGGTAGGTCTGTTGCGATAAGCAATAAATCAGTTCATCACATAAAAAATTTAAATGAGGTTGATAATTAAAATGAGGTAGATAAATTTCARCACCTGCTAGTTTATTTTCATCATGTCTCCCTCTTTTCCACTCTGCAGCATGACAGCACCATAAACGGGTTTTTAGCTGGATAAGTCTTCAATTTTCCCGCGTCTTCTTTCAGCTGGTGATGCCTCAGGACGCCCTCAGGGCACCATATCAAACTTTGGATTTGCCGAGAGTTGTTTTGGTTTTGATTTTTTTTTACATTACGTACATTTCAAAAACATTCAAAAACTTTTTGAGTGATGTGCAAGTGACCGCAGTTATTTTATTTATGGGAAGACCCATAAAAGAATAAACTGTGCAGACTTGGTTAGAGGTGCGCAGTGATTTTACAGCTTCAATAACTGTTGTTGTTTTTACAAAATTTGTTCCCGGTCCATCCGTAACTTTACSTAAATTTTGCAAATCCATAAATTTCATAAGCGGTGTGAGGATGATCGCAGTTATTTCATGAAGCCAGAAGAAGATGCTTGTGTAATAATTTGCCTGGATAGAGAAGGTGGGAAACAATTTGACAGCTTCAGCAGCTGTTGTGAGCTATTTTCCTGATCTCCGGTCCACGTCAGTTTGTAACTTTTTGTTACTTATAGAAATTTTGTAAACTTTTTTATCATTATTTTTCAGTCATTATATTAGTTTAAAATGGTCTCCAAACAATGGTATCATTTATCGCAATAATTTCTGAGACAATTAATCGTCCAGCAAAATTTGTGGTTAGGGTTAAATCATGAAAGGCCTAGTGACAGGYAAACCCAGCTAAAGTGAAAAGCTGTCACCCTAAAACAACATTAATCCTACAAATGTCATAGTGTTTACATGAAAACATTTTTTTGCATAACTGTCCTTTTTCCATAACATAAGGAGTCTTRTGAAATTACAAGTTATCAGTAAGCACAAAAAAGTGGCAGCAGAAGTCAGCAATAGCACTTTGGTGCAACCTATGATGCTTCAAGCAGGAATATTGTGATATTTCTGCAGGAAAAAATGAAAAACTGGCAACAATATTAAGTTTGGAAACCGAGTTTTGTAGGAACTGCTGTGAAATATTTGAAATTGGATCTARTTAAAAGCAGCAGCAATGTGGTTCTGGTCCTGCTTGAACTATCTGCTAGTTTGTGAATCCAAATGGAATTAAACTCTGTTTCTTCAAACCGAAGCAGTTCAAAGAGCTGTCTACAGCATTAATTGTTAACAGCCATACCTCAGATCCACACGTCAAAATTAATTAACTCTCCTCTTGATAAAACTCCAAAAACACATTATGTAACATTAGGCATGCAATGATATTTAAGTATCATTTGATCAGTAACCAAACAACAAAATACATGTTAAAAGATAATAATCTAAAACAGTTTAGACTGGTTTCCCAAAAAGAAGAAAGATAAACTGGACTGTGTTCATTTTCACACTTGAGTTTATGCAAAATCCATTTCCTAGAACACTGGGTGAATTGAATTTACCACACAACCTGCTTTACACCATTACTTACAACTGACCCAAAATTCTGAAATGTGAGATATTGAAGAGTTTTTGACACCTGTGAATAGTAATAAATGATCCTTTGCACAAAGGCTTTTTTTTTCTGTACATCTAGACACCGTGTTCGGTGTTTAAAAGCATGCAACTCAAGTGTTTTGTATCACCTGAGCAAAGTGCAGCTCTGCAGCACGCTCTTTTGTATTTCCCATTAATCATGAAGAAAACTGGGACTGATAGCCAGTGGAAATAAACAAGCTAAAGGTGAGCTATATATGTTCTGAAAAACCCACTTGAAATTGTGTTCATTATCAAATGAACACTTAAAATGTTCTGGTTCTATGTGGCTCACTTGTGTTGAAGGAAAAGCTTCTCAYGATTTTAGACACCGTTATGATCAAAGTTTCTCCCTTCAGAACACTCACCAGTTTTCTGAGTGGCAAAGAGGATGATGAGGGCAACAATGACGATGAAGAGCAAAGAGACAATAGTAATGAGGCCGATCTCCAGGGAGGTCCAGCGGGGCTTCTTTGCCGATTTGGGGGTGTTAGTTTCTGTCATTCTTGGGTCTCCTCCTTCACCTGCCAGCTGTATCAAMTCACCTAAAAGCAGCAAGAAAAACAGATTAGCCCATTCAGAACCAAATGTCAAACTGTCAAACTGGCCCCACTTGAGGTGTTTTGTGTAACCCTCTCTTCTTTAGCTTCCACCTGTTCTCACTGCGGGGTGTCCCGAATGAGCATTTGGTCAAGTCATTTTGGAGTCGAGCTTTCAACATGTGGGGTATAGGGTGTAGGCTATAGATCTCAACAGAAATTTAATACAAGTCCTTCAATGCCTGCAGTAGACACCACAAGACCGTAACTAAACGGCAATGTCACTATTGCTGTGGTAACCCAAAAAATGGATGGGAAACTGCTTGCTGAACAATGAAGTGCGGCGTCCAACTCTGAGGGGACAAACCAAGAGTTCAAAGTTGATTTCTAGTAGAGAAGTGGGTGATATGTGGCTTGACCTCTTTTTTAAATACGGCGGTACTACAGTATATGGCAAGGAAGGCATGGACAAGGTGTGGTCTTAAAACATTAAATCTTTCAAGTGAATTTAAAATAAACATTGGTTATATGCATACAATAAGCTTTAAAAACATTATAACTGAAATGTATACATAATGGCTGTAAAAAAAAAAGTGATTTTAGACAGCTTCTTTAAAGCCAGTAAAGTCATTTTACGTTTTCTAATTTCAGCAAATGCTTCAGTGATCCTACTTTGACAACCAGGTTTTAGTAACATAAATGAAAATTTCTTCTTTGGCAGGTAATTTATTTCCTTCAGCTGCAAACGATTGTAAAATATTGACTAAATGTAGAAAAAGTCTTTAAAAAGTTTTTTAATATTTTTTTTCAAAATGTCTTTTCAATTGAAGAAATGGTGTTTTGAAAATGTTTTGGAAAATAATGTTTTTTATGGAATTTTAATAATCCATTACTTTTATTGATTAATTAATGTATTTATTTATTGCACAAATGTGGTTAGAAGCCAGTGGAAACAGAAGATATAAATTATCCACTAGGTCAGAAAAAGTTACATGAGGAAATGTCATTAAAAACACGGTAAGACTCCAACTCCAGTCTTCTTCCTAGAAACCCTGAAACGTGTTCCTCCAACTGCTAAAAGGCTACTCAGGGTAATGAAATGTGACACCCAGGGGCTTCTGAGTAAGTGTGACGAGGTGGGAGTCAGAATGTGTTACTAGTTTCATATTCCCAGTCAACACAAAACATGAACCACAACATTATTTTCTAACTTTTTTAATTACTCATCAGGTAAAAACTGAGAAAAATTCATGCTTAAATAAGTGATTATGAAAGTAATTAGGGAAAATACTAATTAAAGTTTCTAACTAATAGCCATAAAACAAACAATTTTTGATACAAAAGCACCATTCAAATACCCAAGCCTGAAGATTTATTAACCACTGAATAAACCTGCTCCTTTCTGAAGATTTTCTAATAAAACGTTTTGATTACCATTATAGTATTTTCTTCTCTGTTTAAAATCAAAACACTAAAAGTRGAAAAGAGAAAAGACAAATGACAAGACTGAGAGAATAAACAAGAGAAAAAAAAATATGAGTTTCAGAGCAAAAGGTGAGAACAAGTGAAGTTCTTACCCTTGCGGCTCTGCACTCCAGACTAAATAAAACTTGAGAAACATACAGTTCAAAAAAAAAAAAAAATAACAGAACAGACAAGACGTTTTTTTTTTTGTTTTGTTTTGTTTTTTTGCTCCTCACCATCAAGTGTTGTTTTCCTCTCAGGGGGACCAGGAGAGAGCTTTACAAAGTTCATATAACAAGCAGTTCAGTCTATCTCTGAAGGTCTGAAGGCAATTAATCCTTAATCCGTTAACTGTGCCACACAGACACACACGCTCATACGCTCAAACACTCACCCAGATCCGTGCTCTCAACACACTTTTAACAAGCCAGTGCCATGAGGTGTCTGTGCAGATGGGTGGGTCGCTACATGAGCAGACTGAGATGAGAACATTGCATGACCAACGTCTTTCAGCTCTCTTTGAAGCAACAGACGCATCATTTACCACTCACACACTCGTGCACATTCATCACGCAAAAAAATAAATAAATACGTTCTTGCCCAGTGTCCAATTGTCATGCTGGGGAGTGTCATCTCTCCTCAGCATGACAAAACAATAGACTAACGTAAACTTCCCTGATTATGGTCATTATCACACCACATCTCTGCAAACACTGCTCTCCCCCAGGCTGTTCTCCATGCTCCACAACAGCACTAAAGTGCATGAGATCACCATACAGGTCACAAGATTTACTGTAACAGATTCAGTTCTACATCCGCAAGATGGGCAAGTGAAAAACGGCAGATCCAATGCATAAAAAGAGCCAATGAGACTGTAGGATGACACAAGTTGACGTATTAATCCAAACGTCCTGCCWAGCTCCTCTCGGACCGCAGGAGAAGGGCAGAAACTTTGTTGGCGAGAAAACAGATCATCGTGGCAGCGGTCCCACAGCTCGAATAAAACCATGTGTGCATGTCAGCACTGGAGAGGCTATACATTATCCTCCTTCACTCCAATCTTGGTGCTTTGCATGCSAAGTAATTGAAGGTCTGAGGGATTTATTAAAATGGAAAAGGCACAATAAAACAAATTGAARGATTGTGTCGGGGGGTAGAAGTGGGTAAAATGAAAGTTTCAAAGACTGAGTGTTAAATCATGTCACCATCACTCAAGACATTTAGCTGTAAGTTTTAGGGAGAGCTTACTCTGTAACATGCCATCACTCGTACATAATGCTTACTTCTGTGTTTGTTTTGGGCATTAGAAACTGCATGTTCAAAGTCACCCCCTTTCTCTTATTAACACTGCTCTGCTTCGGTAATGGGACCTCTTAGTATTATAAATGTGCATAACAATGATGCCTAAGGATGCTTACAAGATTAAAATAAGAGGGAGAAGTGCCTAATATGCACATATCGCTGCTCTTGCAAGGGGATTCAGTTAACGTTTGGACATTTGAATACTGGGTCCGCATTGTTCAACCAACAGCTCATACACTCTAAAAATGAAATGTTGGATTTACTTAACCATGTTATGTTACCTTGTTCCACGTAACTGAGTTGAGTAAATTCAAAACAACATACTTGTGTTCTTTGGCTAAAAAACTGGTRTATTGCTTTGAATTTACTCAWCTCAGTTAAGTGGAACCAGGTAACATAACATGGTTAAGTAAATCCAACATTTCATTTTTTACAGCGTAGCTTGTGAAGTGAGACGCTGTGGAAAGGTTATGAATCATGAATATCTTACCTGTTGAAGATGGCCTTTTGCACAGCCTCAATTTAAAGCAGCAGTCTGCTACCTGCTGCTCTGGGGCCATGTGTGGCTCTCTTGTCCCTCTGCAGCAGCTCAGACCAAAGCTAATATGAGATTGTATTTTTTTAACTCAACAGAAAAGGTTACTTTTAAGATTTTTGTCCTGAAATATAAAAATAATAATAAATGAAAAAAAATAACTCTTAATTTTATGTCACCCCCGTTCAACAAATTTAAAGTGGCCCAGGGACCACCAGGTGATAATCGCCATTGTAGCATTTTTTGCAGACATATTTTATTAGTGAGCAGAAATGGCACTTTTGATTGTAAAGGTTGCAGACCCAACTGAAGGGGACCACTTTAAAACAATCTTCATGATGATTCAATTGTGTCATGCAAATGGCACTGTGGCGGTTCCTTTTTCTGCTAGAATAACTATGAAATATAACATTTGTAGTAATATCAAGGTTTATAAAATAGCATTTTCAGAAACTGCTACAAACTATTTGAGACTGCATTCTACTCTAGCCTTGACTTGACATTTAAACGAGCTGCTAGCTTGTCAGTATTTTAGAATTAAACTTTGTTCTTTCAAACTAAGGTCATTCAAAGGGTTATCCGTGACAGGTAAGATATTGACCATTCATAACCTTTTGACAGAGTCCCTCTTCAAAGAACCTGAACTGCCTCTTTAAGGTGTGGTTTATGAAAGGAGAAGAACAAAAGTCAACCCCCTTTTTTTTCTATATATTTCTATCTGTCTACAATGATCCTCCTTCAAAATTAAACCCATCATTCAAAGAGACAGTCGAAAGCACGCGCACACACACACACACACACACACACACACACACACACACACACACACACACACACACA